TTCAAAGCATGACCAAACACAGGAAACTCATGCAGCGCTTCCTAACCTTATAGACCCATCAAAAGGATTAACCAAAAAAATTAGAAATAAAACAAAAACTGAAAGGGCAAGACTAATATATATAATAAAAATCACTGTTTTAAATCAAACAAATCATTGCTTTAAAAGCCAGAGACAGCATTTCTATCCATGATTAAAACTGAGGTGAAAAGACATCCAAGAAAAGGAAGGAGAAATACTTAATATGAGGGCACAGAGGGAAGCAATAACAGCTTTAGCACATTAAGCCTGTTAATATAATGACATAAGGTGATTTCCACTGGTACCACCTTCTGACAGCTTACCAGTGGAAGGAGAATCACTTCATTTCAACTATACGTCTTTAACAAAGGGGTTGCACTTATAGCATGAATTCTTGTTTGATTAAAATATGGGCTTCATTTTATCAAACACAGCATAAACAGGATATCAGACCATACGGCCACGTTATGCTTGCTTTTTATAAGGGAAAGAAAACATGCCAAAAACATGATAAAAAAAAAAAATTCTGGGTGATATTATGGGAAAAATTGAATGTTTTTCTGTATTTAAATTCCGTTAAATTCTATTCTTATTGCAGACACAAGGAAGGTCCATATTGGAAAAACAAGATATAAAGTCATTACAAGACAATTAGCCTAGTTCATTACTTTATTTCGTCTTTCCATCCGGTGATTCCTAATAGCAGATGTCTACCTATAGCTGCTCAAATGAGGATTTTTCAGAGTCTGAATAATCAAGTTCTCAGATTTCTCCAGCTGCTGCATAAATTTAAACGTTACATCTAAATAATGATATTTATAATTATGATAGTTTAAATCCAACAACTCAAACTAAGGGATCATACGTTTTAGCAGAAATAAATATGGTAACTGTATCAGAGAAGCTCTAACTAACAACACAATCAGCTCAACTTTTGTTGGATTAAACAAGAAAAATCAACAAATTAACCCTCTTAAGTAGCAGTGCTAGTAATAGTACTAGGGCTGAGGGACATGCATTTAAAATCTTATCACAATATTGGATAATATTGTGATAAAGATAAAAGTGGAGATAAAAAAAACAACAACCAAAAGAAAAAAAAAAATCATTACTTCTTCCCAGTCGTAGGTAACTTTATGGCTGTTTACCACAGTAATCATAGGTCAGACGATCACAAATAATACTCTTGAAGAACATACTTAAAATCCGGAACTGAGTTTAATTATATTCTTCAAAAAAAGAATTAAAAATAAAATAATTCACACAGTTTCAGGGGTTTAAATCATCACTGATTCTAGTTTATCATTTAAGATGATAAAAATTCTTATGACTAGATTCTTATTGCAATAAACTATATGATAAATACTCATCCCTAAATACTATTCCAGATGTTAAATTTGAGTACACTTTGATAGCAAACCTGTACTAAAGTTTTACTAGATTTATGTCCACCTATTAATAGGGATGAACCAATACAATATTGATATCGGAAATCAATCCGATATAAGCAATGAGAGAACCACGACCTCATGACACATTCTAACTAACCACTGCCATACCGAGTACCGCACGCTTAGCTTAGCTGTGTGACGCTTCCCCTCTGACCACAATGGATCATCCTCATTTAAATCCCTGTGACCTTAAACGATAAACAGAGAAAAATCAGTGACTGGATGCGATCCATAAGGGGTCCCTGCAGACTCTCAGCTAAACACAACGATACTGTCCGATGCTCAATCTTCAGATCTTAATATCAAATTCATTTCTTTTACAAGGCATTTAGTCAGTTTAATTAATAAAGAAAGTAAAGAATGTACAAGACATTAAATCTAGTTGGCAACAGTCTAGGCTAGCTCACCTGATACCAAATGTATACTGCACAGACGGCTACTTGCAGTCCGCCGCCAGTCAGCTCTTCTGATCGCTGATGGCCATCTCTGACAAGGTTAATTCTCTTTTGGTAAGTGGTATAAATAAATATTTGGGTCACCTTTGTTATGTTTTTACACCAGACGGCAAAATATGCAGATGGCATTGATGACGCGCAGGGGACCAGAGTAGGTACTAAACATGGCAGTTGCTAGATTTAAACGTTTGATAAGTCTGTGACGTCTGCTGCCACGCATTAGCCCAAGTCTAAAATCTCAATATATTAGAAAGTTTAAAACAATGTAAAGTTCTCATACCTGTTGTTGACTAATGTTCTGAAATATATCAAGCCTTTTGTAGTATTCCACATTATAAAATAGGTCATAAACACATTTATGATTCCTGGTGATATTTGCGATTATTGTTGGTATAGGATATTTTATCGACCCCAGCATTAAGCAGAAACCTGACCAGCAACACTATGAGAACCTTATATGACTTTCCAAAATCATGTTGCAGTTAGAAAACTGTTTAATAAGAGATGTACAATTGTTGTTTACATGACTAATCTGGGTATTGCCTAACATTTGAAGATTTTCTTTTTCAACCTACGCTTTTCAAGAGACTGCAGCACCTTCCAGTCTGCCTACATCACACAGCCGGCTCATGCTAATCAACGATTAGCCATCGTTAGATGGAGCAAATTCTCCAAAACTCTAATCATTGCTGTTATGATTGTCATGTTATCATTTTCATCTTGTCATCATTTATGCCCCCAATGTTTATGCTTTTACATTTTTTCCTGACTGTCCAAACAGCAGATGAAATCTAAGCTTCATTTCTGAAAGTAAAAGGAACTCAAACTAACCTAAGTAGAACATTTTGTTTTCCTATATGTGTGCACCAGGAAGCCATTACCCAACACATTATTATTCTCTAAAAGGAGTGTTTTGTTTCACCATCTTAATCTCTTTAGCTCACTTAATGACAAACTCCATATAAGCACATGAGTCTGCATTGATCTGCTGACGTACGACCGCCTATGCAGCAAGCTTAACTGGGAAACCTCGCCGAGTGCTACTCCATTGTTTATTGTTTGCACGGAACTTCATAAACAGAGCAGACGGACGTAGAAGTAAACATGATAACAACAGGGCTGAAAGGGCAGAACTGCATTAGGTGGTAAGAGAGCGGAAATAAAAAGAGAAGGATGAAGATGGAGTCTAGATAGGCAGCACCACCTCTGCTAGTTTGTTGCCTTCTTTTAAGCAGCAGAAATCATTTTCTGAGTGGGAAAAAATGAAAAGATCACAGATGTGTTTTGGTTCCATTCATGCTGTTTCTTTCATGATGAGAGGGAAATGAAAGGAGACCTGAAAAGAGGGGAGAGGGAATGATGTAACAGAGAGCTTCTGGATGAATAAAGATAAAAGGTTTTTATTTAATGGAAAAGCGAGTTTAGACTAAAAGAAAAAATATATATACATATATATATATCCAGAAGCATGAAAAGAGCTCATATCGTAACGATGACGTTGGACCTTTTAGCTTCATATGAGGCTTTATGAGAGCGAACACTGCCTGAGGTATTCCCTGTCTCACAAACACACATATTAGATGTAAAGAAACAAGGAGAGAGTTTACAGTTCATTACACACTACAGTACAACCCGTCCCCCTTACTGGACACCATCATCCATGTTTGGTTGGAAGTTTTAGACTGATGTAACAGTGATTCTCTTACTGTCCTACACTATCCTGACTTTATTTTAGGAACAACAGCTGGACTTTTCATTTAAATAAGAATGATAGCAAAATAAAACGGTTAGCTTTGAGGTTATTTAATGTTTCAGCAATCCCATTACACTAGCCTTGTAACAGGAGGGCTTTTTCCCAGAAGTCTCAGCGTTGGTGTGTTGTTAGCTGCTGTCCTGAATGCAAATCTTATGCAGTCAAAGTGAAACTAAAAATAGGCTGGAAGCAACATTGTAATTATGCAAAGCCAAACACAAACCCTGCAAATATTGAAGGAATAAATAAAATAAAAAAAACCTGTTGTTAGATCACCCGACTATGGTTTGTACAGTTAAAAAATGAGAGGCACAAAGGCTTAGGCCTGAATCACAGGAAAGAAAAAAAAAATCTGATTATGTCATCATTTATAATGCCCTGGAAGTGAGAGCTTTTTAGGATGAAACCGCAGAAATTTGAAACCAACCTTTAAAATGAATCATCCATTAAGTGGCCGTATTTGGTATCGGATCAGAAGGCAGCTCACGACGGTGCAACACAGGAAACATTTATTGAAAATGAAGTCAGACTCCACGTAAAAGAGTAATAAAAAAAGCCTCTTTGGTGAGAGCTGATAGATGACTTCCACCATGTTACACTGTGAAGGATTTAACTGAAAAAAGATGCTACATTTTTAAAACAAAATACCACATAGTAATATAAGATGTACATCAAAATTAAATATAGCTGTTTCTTCATGCTTTAAGGCCCCAAACAGTGAGAGGCTTTTCTCGTGATGTATTTTAGGACCTGCTGATAATCGTAGCTGATTGATGTGTGACTTTCTAAATCATTCATGTCTAATCTACAAGGTAAACAGCTCTGGGGTCACTGAGTGTGTTTCTCTTCGCATTATTGGCTGTAGCCTGCTAAACTGATTAACATCAGCTCAGCAGCTGCTTGCATCCAGGATGCTCCCAGTATCATTTCAAGTTTGCTAGCCCACAACAAACAAACAGGAAGTCAGAGTCCAATCCAACATTAGGTTATAAAGCTATAGGAGTTCAATGATGATAACAACCATTGCAGAAAGCTGACACCCAGAAGTGTGACCATCATGACTGTTAAGCCACAATATCAGGAGGCAGCAAAAAGCAGAAGCACGTGTTCGCCGTCACGGTCTCTCTGAAAAATGAGGAATTAGGTTGTAAGCAAAGCTCCTGAAGCCGATGTTTCCATGCAAATGGAGTCTGCATCCTGCTGCAGTTTGCATAAGACACCTGTGGAAGAAGCTCTGTCCTGCTTTTCATCAGCCCAAACCACAGGTCCTAACCATAAAGCCATAAGCACAAATGCAGACTGAGGTGTGTGCATACTCACGTAGGAAATGTTTCTCAAGTAAGGCAATTTCCAAGTGACCTTTCACTTCACTGAGGCGTTCTGACTCTGACCTCTGGAAGTCCTGAACGGCGGCTGCCATCGTGGGGGACCCTGAACCGGCCTGCACATGAAGAAACACACACACAATCAGAAGCTTAACCTAATAAATCCAGAGGGGGACTGGTAGAACCCCCAGTAGGTCCGTTTCTGAGTAAAACAGACAGGAAAAGCCTAAACTATCTGAAACACACCATCAGTACCGAGCCATGACTCACGCCAATGTTTCCTCTCCGGGTTCAGGACCAGCAGGAGTGAAGGAGACGAGGAGAATCCCTCCCCCCCCCCTTTTACTGACGTGTGCACCGATGACTCAAACAACACCGATGGTTTTCAACACAGCAGTAAAGTGGAAGCGGAGAACGGCAGAGAGATTGGAGAAAGGGTGAAGCTCAGAGGGCGATGCAGGGAACAGAGAGACGGATGCGCTAGTGGAGGATGAGCACTGCAGATTGAGCATCGCTGCTCGACTACAGTGAGGGTCCTTTAAGACTTCTGCTGCACGCATACACACACACACACACACACACGCACATGCTGCAGCAGCGGGGTAAGCCGACTGCAGCCGGTAGGTTTGTGCTTTTTCCTGCTTAGATATGCTGCATCGTCTCAAACTGATGCTCTCTATGCAAAGAATGAAGCATAGAAGAGGAGACGAATGAGCCAAATGACAGACATGGCTCATGGGAAACAAGCTTAATGATGGATAGTGTTCTTAAAAAAAACAACCTCAAATAATTAAAGTAGAGTGTGCTGTTGGGGGGAGAGTGAGGAAAATGAAAGGAAGAGGACAGACGAGAATGAGGGTGAAAACATGGAGGATGAGGAAGAGGTGGAGTTACCAGAGGATAGTGGGAGTGAAGCTTTGCTGCATTATCAGGGCTCGGCTGCAGCTCTTCTGCTTTGATTCTTTCAGTTTCTGCGTCATGACAACAATCCCACAGTTGGTAAACTAACACAACTGCACAATGTTTGATGCCTTTAGATCCCCCTGGGAATTGCAAGTAGGTCGAGCCCCAACATCAAATCTAATGATTATTGCCTATATGCTTTTCCTCTTTAAGGACATGAGCTTAGGAGGCTGCTTCTGTCCCACCGCGAGACTTGATGGGACAGCGTAACAACACAAAATATTGACAAAATTTATTAGGATCACTACTTAAAAACATTAACACTCTGAGACATTGAGAACTAAATAATTATGTAAAGTGCCCTATAAAAACTATACTCTTTGAATGTGCAAAAAAAAAAAAAAAAGCATAATGATAGAATCTACATAGTATCTTTTTTTTTTATATACATAAAGTCCAAATATGGCTGGATGCATATGTTTCACATGGCATTTGATCCAATTCTTGGCTTGCAATCACTTGAACCAATCATTTCCGGTTAATTAAGTGCTGGTCAGGCCAACTAAAAATGGCTGCCGATGTGTGAAGAAAATACAACTGTTGCTCCGAATATTTTCATGCATTAGATTCTAATTCTCAGAATCTATACATGGAAAAAGTCAAATTATACGATGGAATAGATACTTATCCAAGACTGATTTGACTTACAAGCTGGAAAAATACCTGCTAGTTCAGTTCCCCGATACCTCAAACTAGCTAGCGTTACAAACAAGCTTTTGCACTGCTAAACAAATGAAGGCATGGAAAAGGAGGATGCCTACAACTTTTTTGACTGTGGATGGGTTAAAGAAGTCGGAGTTGAGGTGCTGAAAGACTAATCTTGCTTCATATAGAGTCACGTAAGTAACGATTATTATATGAACTTGTACTTGCTATGTGTGTCTGTCAACAAAACATACTCAGACAGGTTTCTGCTGTTTTTTTCAGGTCCAACATTCGCAGTGTTTATCTAAAATGTCAACTCATACCTGGTTGTTGATAAAAGAAGATGGGGATGTAACAACATATTGTGCTCATTGTGACTGAATGGCTGGGTAAATAAATAATCCTTCGACGTAAAAGCGTTTGCTAGTTTTTTAAAGTACTCTGAATGCATCTTCAAATCACTGCTTATGACACTGAAAGGCTCTTTATCTGTAAATTAGCGTCAAAAGTGAATTACAGTAATTTTGGGACTATAAGCCGCGACTTTTTCCCCATTTTTCGACCTTGCGGCTTATATAACAATGCGGCTTATCTATGGACTTTTACAGCTAACGGCCACTAGGGTAATACTTCAATCCATGGATTTAAGGATCCACCATGTTGACGTCACATTTACTTAAACACACAAGTACGGTAGCCGCGCGTGGGGGAATGCAGAGGTCCTCCGGAAGCAGACTTCTACCGCGAGTGGTACGAGACAGAACGACAGCGAGAAAGACGGATATTAAACATAAAAAACCTGCGGCTTGTAGTCCGGTGTGGCTTGTATATGTACAAATCATGCAATTTAGCTTCTGCGGCTTATATTTAGGTGCGGCTAATAGTCCGAAAATTACGGTACTAACCTTTAAAAAAAAAGTGATCGCCACAAACTTTGGAATTTATTGACACCGCTCCCTTCGAAATCAACTAAATATTAGCAGGCCAGTTTTTCCTGCATCTTTTTGTGAAATCCTTACTGCGAGGCCCTGTTTGAATATCTTCACGAGGAAGCCGAAAGCATCCTTTATCAGTCTCTTGTGATTAGATCTGTTAGAGCAACCTTAAACACATGCAAAAGGCATATTCAAGTCAAGATTGAATGCTCACTAAACACGGGGCTCTAGTAAACTCGTTCAGTCAAACCACCACTTCATGAGACGGATAAGTAACGAGGCAGACGTGACGTCAGTTGAAAGTAAAGAATACTAATAAGTGAATCTGCATCAACTCAAACATGTTTCTAAAGATGCTCACCATTTAGTCTGAAAAGACCTTAAGGTGCTCTGCGCTCCTTTCTCTTGCTTTATTTCAAAACTAGAATTAAAGCATGTATACGTTTCTGCTTGTACAACATACATGTGAAATACTAATTAATGGAAACATTTTTTGCTCAAATACAATTATTTTTATAAGATTTTTGTTACATATACATCAATGCAAGTCTCCAGACTTATTTTGCATGCAAGCTTAATAAAAAGCATGGATATATTTTGCATGCACGTAAAAGTCTTTAAAGTAAAAGCTTATAAAAGTCTGACGTCAATACTCTAAATTACAATAAAATAAAATGTAGTTTCAGTTGCTACTTCGTATTTAACCACATGAGTATTTGGAAAATGCTAACGATGGTCCAAATAATTCCAAAAAACATTTTCAGAGAACAGTAAGGAATTCAGGACATTCCGTGGTTTTTCTTATCTCCTCCCTGACAGGGTAAGATCGGGAGTGAAATGCATCAAGCAGCAGATTTAATGCACTTCAAGTCATAACAAAGCCATCCTACTTTCAACTCATGTCCTGTTTATTGACCCACAACTCAAAACAGCATCCATATACGGTTACATGTGATAGCCAGATCATTGGCTGATCGTTTTAAGGACAGATGTTCTGCAGTGTTGACCATAATCAAAACGATCAAATAGGGTGCAGCAATATGAATGCAAGAAATAAAAGTGCTGTGTGAATTTTTTTGTTCCTTAATTACCCATCACAATTATTCTAATGGGGCCTGACTGGTTTAGGATTATTAAAGCCACAGCAGTTTGTCTATTAGAAGAAACAGGTGAGCTTGCAAGCTTATTTAATAAAGATAATGGGATGGGAACTCTGCAGCTGGGGTCACAAGCTTTACCCTTTTCACATGAGGTGATGAAGTGGAGGCTTCAACCGGTGTCATGTGATTTAATCCTGGAGGGTAGGAGAGACCTGAGAGGCTCCAGGGGAACCCTACAGGGGGTACAAAATAGCTGCAGCTTTAACATACTAAACACAGCTATCCACTGGTAAAGTGACATATACTGTAAGCCACACGCGTGTTTGAATGTGTGCATCCCAGCTGAGTTAAGAGCTAGCTTTGTCTATTTTGGGGTTTAGAGTGTGACTCATCACTGCTCTGATGTGGGCGATGTCTTCCTGGTGCTCACAAAGGCAAACATTGCTGCACATGTAGACATGCAAACATCAGCTGCAACGCTCAGGGGGTCAATATAAAGCAAAGTGAAAAAATGATGAATGGTCTCAGATTATTAGTAAAGATTGTGGTTTATTCATGTCGATTTAAAAACCCAATAAAACATGAACCAAAACACTCCTTTTTGATTTTTATTCAAAGTTTAATTCTAACAAAAATATCCAAAACTGCAAAAGAAAAAAAAAAGAAAGAAAAAAAAACTCTCTTATTATTATTATTATTAAAAAACGGTATGATCTTATTATCTCATTAAAGAGCCACTGTGGAAGATCCAAAGAGCCACTTGGGGTCAAAGTTCAAACCTAGATTCTAATATAGAATCTAACGAGACGCTGAGACCCTTTTGATCCAATGCAAGCATTAGAATGGCCTTTTTTGGTCAAGATTTCAGATGTATATACACTTAAAGGTAGTTTTACATAAGGAGGGTCCCAAGTCTAGTCCTCAAGAGCTACGCTCCTGGAACCATTAGAGGCAGGCCTCCTTCAGCAAACTTAAATCAAATAAATGGCTCATAACCAGAAATTCTAGATCTAGTGACATACTGAGGGGGAATTCACTAATTTAGTGCTCGGAGACTCGGATCACTGCTGCACTTTAAGAAAAATGTCATGAGGGCTGTACAAAAACGAAAAATTAGTTTTGTATACACTGTGTGTACAAAATGTCAATAAAGTTTGTTTAAGTAAGTCTAAGACTAGACTTGGGGAACCGTCCTCCCCATAATCATGATGCAATACTTCACACCCAGTAAAATCCATGAAATTCTGAACTATAAACCTGGAAAAAGAATGAATACTTTTAGAAAACCCTGCTTTTGAAAGCACTTCAGGTGAATACCAGTCAGACTCTGCATCTCAGATCCAGCATTACTCGGCAAACCATTTTCAGAAGGGATCCAGAAAAAAGTCCCAGACCACCATTTTATCCAACGTCTATTTAAAAACAAACAGAAAGTAGAATGCAGAGCGACTTGGCTTCAAGTGACAAAAAGGAAGTGATTGGCAAAGTACTTTCAATCTGGACATCTTTCCATCTGTGCAAGGACTCAATGACGACAATCTTGGTAATTTTAACCACCAACAGGAGAATTTTTTTTCCACCCACCTCGGTGCAGGAGGAGGGGACACCCACTAGTTCAATCCACTGACGTCAAATTCAAGTCAGGTTTAATCTCTTTCCTGCTGTCTAATATCTCCTCATCTCACTGCTGCTCCTCCTATTTCCTCTGTTCACAAGCAGATTGCCATCTCGGTGTCATGTCCACATTAATCCTGACCACATCACTCTAATTATAAGACCCTCTCTTCTGTGAGCAACAAAAACATCAGTAGGGTGAAGGAGCATATTTTTCTCCCTTTGGTGAGAGGAAATGCTCCGTTACAAAGGGTAAAAGCTCTTCTCCCATGGGTTTTAAAGAGAACGGCTCTATTTCTTTTCACTGCTTCCAGTGCGATGAATAAAAAAAGCAAACGTTGCATAACACTTTATCGTGTCAAGAGGAAAAACAAAGTACATAAATAAAGAGAGGAAAGGAAAACCACAATTCCACAGATCAAACTCACAGGGTCTCGCTGAACATCTTCTGCATCCCGCAGAGATGCTCTCGGCTTCAGCTGCACGTCGTCGTTACATTCACTGTCGGAGGCGGGTGGCGAATCGCCCAGATCTGGGAAGTCGTCTCTCGTCCTGGGGCCTCGGAAGCGGATCCTGTCCAGGCGCTTTAGCATGGTCAACACCGCGTACCTGGGCTTTACCTTAACATGGCGGACGGCAACCCTGCAATAGAAAAACGTAAAAAAAAAAAAAAAAATTTAACGGTTATTCTTATTACTTTTGGAGGGGACAGTGATCCTCCACATGCCATCAGTTCACTGATCTGCTCACCAGCACCATTAGTATTTCAAACCTTTTCACATTCACTAAAAGGTCCAGCGAGGTGACATAGTGAATGCTGTAACCTTTAATGCTCTTTGAGTTTTAACCCCGTCCCTGTGGGGTTGGTTTGCCCTTTAGCGCAGACACAAAGATGGAAGGATTACATCTCGTTTCTGCTCTGGGTGCAGTGGACTGCTCTGGATTTTTTGACCCAAAATTGATTTAGTTCCAGAACTAAAGCTGTGGCCAAAACACGGCTGGTGTCTGATGACAGCGGCCTGTTTCAGTCGCCACGCAATGAGTGTGGGGACTTAACTCTTTCCAATAACCGTTTATTTAGATTAAAAAAAGTGTCTGAAACTGATACATGATGCTTTCCCAAATATGAGCAGTCATCCCTGAACCGTTTGCCTTCTGCTGGGATTTGTCAATTGGTAAAGGATTAGGAGTAGTGTAATCCAATAAGATTACTTAATCTGCTTGATTGAGGACTGTCAGACAACAAGACGAGAGAACAATTTATCTGACGGGTGCTATCTTAAAAAAATCAGAGTGCAGGATTAAACCTTGGCTTCGTTTAAAGTTTAAATCATTAACAGGATTCATTCACCCTCATTTTATTGATCGGACACCAAAAATGAGTTGCAGACTCCTTCAGAGGAGTCAATTTTGAATGACTCTTCCATTTCCACCTCCTTTTAAAAAGATAAATCTGTCATTTTAAGATGAAAAACAGATGCCGACAATTATGCAGCACTTTCAGCAGTTTTGTGTACTTCCAAGCAAAGGAACTTATCTTCCATTTATTTTTGCTAGTTTAGGAAAGACATTAATGAAACCGGATAGGTCTTAACTGCCAATTCCTACATCAATATTTCATTATTTTTTCCCTCTTAAACCCACTGGATGCTGTTTCACTACAATTAATCTCCCACCTCTACAATCTGTGCTAATTATAGTGCTTATGACTTAAAGGCAATAAAAGGATTAATCCACAGCCTCTGTACTGCGTCCAGTTATCTATCACAGAAATGTCTGCTAAGTTATTAGCAGGGCATTCAAAGAAGCAAAAAGAATAACATAACGTAGAAAGGAATCTTTTAAAATGACTTTAAAGGTTAAATCTAGTCTCTGCCCCCCTGACCCTGTCTAATTGGCTTGGTATAGCTCAACCACTTAACTCTTGGTTGCTTCTACGTGAGGGAAATGAGAGCTATGATATATCGTTCTAGTTAATACAAGAAGATTTTCCACATATCACACCAGGAAACTTTTTTTTTTTCTTACGTTCCATGTATGTTTTCTTGTTTGGACCAGAACCTGAGAGCCTGCATCTCTGTGAGCAGAGTGTGCCTGCATGTTGACCCTCCTGTGCAGCAGGTGGCTAGTTTCCCTCCACATATCATTTTACATGTAGGCCAAAAGGTTCAGTTTGGGTATTAGCTAACCAGAGCACCTTCTGTCACGTGTTCACAGTGTCCCGAACAAGTAGTTTTACGATCCAAGATGCTAACGGCAGTAGAAAGAATGCTTAAGCTAACGGGAAATGGTTGAGACACTGTTTAAAGGAGGTTATACGGCCTGATAACAGTGGGATGAAGTTTCTATCAACACCTTCTCACACAAATGTTAAGTTTCCGTCCCCCACCCACGTGTAGATGTGACTGGTGGGGTTTGTGTTTCCTTTCTGTTCCCACAATAATTTGCCTCAGTTTCAGTCACTGATTGCCTCAAACTATCTTAAAGTCAATAAATAAAGAACTTACAGATCTGAAAGTAAAAATATGATCTCATGTTTTCATTTAAGGCCTCCTCCTGTTTGTTTATTTCCTTTGCAGATGCATTTTCTCTGCTCCAGAGCCATGTTCTGAACAAGTCCTAAATAGAAGCGTCAATAGAAGTGAGGAGAGGACAGGAGGAGGAGGAGTGGGTTTCAGCTCAAGGTCTGATCCCTCTCAGTCCGAATAAACAGCCCTCATGAATCATTTGCTTCACAAACAGAAAGACCTCTAAACACCTTTACCTCGTCATAAGTCACAGATGACACAGGTTTTGCAGAAATGACGCAACGATCGTAAAATATAACGACGCCAACAAAACAAAAACATCCCGCTTTGTAGAAGCATGTGAGAGCTGGTAGTGTTTGTTTGTACCTGTGATCATTAGTCAGGCTTCAATAGCTGTACAAGCTCCCTCTGCATCTCTAATGCAAGCCTAATGTTCTGTATCAGAGCTGGTATGTGTCTCTGAGTAATCTTCTGCTAATAAACCCTCAAGCTGGAGGTTACTCTTGGTCACATCGACTACTACAGTCAGTCAGTGACCCCCCGAGGCCCAGGAACCTAGAGTAAAACAAATGTTTCTCTAATCTCATTATGGCAAAATGTTCAGTCCATGCAGGAATCTGAGCAAAATGTATTAAAAGCCATTTTAGGAGATGGTTAGCCTAGAAAGGAGCCATGAGATTTTGAAAGACTCAGGATTTGGTTACATTTTTAGCTTGATCAGATCTGATGACTGCTCAATCTGTCAAAAACTTCAATGTCTAACCTTTCCCTGGTGATTGAGCACACCATATCTAAAACCTAATAGATAGCACAGATGGAAAAAAAATCCAATTTATCGAATTCACTTACTGGGAAAGGTTAAAATTTGTGGTGCAACGGATCATCGTTGATCCGCTCAGATCAATATTTTCAGTTCGGCCCCGACATGATCCGTGGACTGACTTACAGAGAGAGAAGAGGAAAAAAAGCGATGCGCACGTTCCGTTCCACAGCGTGGTCATTGCAAGCAGAACAAAGGAGGAGCCTGAACACTCCTCGTAATTTAAATCACCAGTATGGTATCATTTTGGCTTTCCTGTCCAATTTAATGAAGGAAAGAGGTTAGTGGATGAAACCATGATGGTGTGTAAGTACTCTGGAACAAGAAAGACATATGATGGTGGAAATACATCAAGCATGGAAACGCATTTGAAGCGACATCACCCCGGTGTTCCACTGACAGGAGTGAAAACGAAGCCCGCTTAAAATCCGCTTATCACCACGCTGTATATGCAGCCCCCTGCTGCACAATCCGACCTGGCAAAAGCCATCAAAAACAGTACTGGTGTATTTATAGGTGTGAACATGAGCCCATATTCAGTTGTGCAAAACGAGAGCTTTAAACACATAGTGAGAGTACCTCAGCCACGTTACAACATCCTGTCGTGCATATGTGTAGAACTGAGCTAAGTGCTACGTTATCAATCTGGGATGGCTGCCGTTCACTCTCTTCGTGAAAAGGAGGAACGTTTAGTACAATACTTCGAGCTAATTGGGTGATGTCCCAGCTAGTACACACCTTCCATAATACGCTTTCAGCCAATCGTAGCGTTTCATAAGCTGATAAATCAAACTTTTTCAAAATCTTGTCTGAAGAAAAGCACAGACATTTCCATCTAAAAATGCACAAAGTGATTCTCTTCAATCCTTTTTTAAATGAGAAATTCTTGCTACTTTAGCTAAAACCAAGTCAATTGTGGCATCAACAGGTGAGTCCTCCAGCATAGCCATGTCTGTAATACCCCAGCAAGGCCCTTCTGAATGTCATCATTCCTACATATCCAAACCCATAAATCACTGCTGGTATGTCATTAGTCTGAGCCAGTGGTTATTCGGAGGCGGATGTATTAACGGGAGTCTTTCTAGATGGATTTGTTGTGAGACTGAAACTCAGTTTTCGCTACAATCTAGCTTGCGGTACAAGTTTAATCGCATGCACACTTCACAGAAAAGGTTGTGACAGATCTTTATCAGCAGGAGAAGAAAAAAAATGTGTGAATAACAAAAGGATAAAACCTGTTTATTTGTCTTGGATTTTTTTTTTTTTTTTTTTGCTCTGATGCAAAAAATTAGTTGAACGATACGAACCGTTGACTTTTGAGATCCACTGCACCCCTAGTAAATATTTAAAGTCAGAAAATGACATTTAGATTCAGTGGGCATTACAAAGGAAACTTGCGAGACCAGTGGGAATTAACTTCCAGAAGATGACATTAAAAGGTGAAACATATTAAAGTTTTTTTTTTTGTATACCATTCACAGCTTATAGTAAAGTAAATAGAGTTAAAACTGACAACTCCATTCCTCGTCATGGAGAGAGAGAGCAAAAACACTTCTGGTTTTGACAGCCAACACCAGGAATGTTTAATAAACGTATTCTCTGTCAATGCTAGTTCGAAAAGAGAAATTGCAGAAAACCAGAATCAGTCGAGTTTTAAACCAGAGATTGGGAAACTGGCCGCAAATCACTGGCTACATTCACACTGCAGCCTGAAGTGACCCAGCGATTTTATGGCCCAAATGTGACCTGCATCTGATCTTTTCATGACAGTCTGAACAACAAGGCATTGAGGCCTGCAGTGCGAACAAAGCCTTTGATCCATCTCTGAAATTAATCCTTTTTTTAACAGTAAAAAAACATGAGGGCAATATGAAGGATCCAGAGGGTACAAAAAGTTTGAGCGTCCCCTCCTTGGAAAAAAAGAAAAAGTTCTGATTGCAAAAGCTCTCTGGACTTATCCTGATTTATATTACAAACTGACAGATTTCCCATGAATATCTGCAACTTCTGAAGACAAAACAGTGTTTGTTAAGGGGAACATTCTTTGCAGCCAATAAATGGAAAAAGCTACATCGGAGAGTCATTTTAGACCATTTAAAAGATCTATCCTTGTGGTTGCTCTAATGGTCCACATTTGTTGCTCTTATAGTGCGTCTATAAACCACCCCTCTTCACACCGTGGAAAGAAACCACACTTATCGAACAAGGAAACTTTTAACAGTGATTAATCTTTATGTTTGTATTAAAACTGTTCATTTTTCTGCAATAAATCCAGCAAAAACGTATAACTTGCG